TGCTTGCAGAGTCATGTTCTCCTTAGTCTGAGAGTCAAAGGTTGGATTTTCAATTAAGGCATTCACAAAAATCCACATGTGGTTCTTCACCTGTAGTTAAATACAACAAAGATCACACACTGTACAGTGAGGGAACACTCAGCACTGTAAAGTTTGGAATTTTCATAGATATTTTGTTAATTTTAAACAGCTAACAATCATTCATGAAGTGTTAGATGATTTGAGATGTCAAGAATTGGCATCTCTCCACCTCAATAGGTGTTATCTAGCAGATAGTGAGGTTTAGTGCATCTACGCTGACTTGCAAAGGGAAGTTAATTGGCTTAAACTGGACAATATGAGATTTCTATAATTAGCAATCTTCTATATACTGTCTGCACAACGAAAATGTGTTATTAATTAATGCAGCTATGCATTAAGCTGAAGTTACAATTTGCAGTAATGCTCAAGTTGTGCTTCCCACCTGGAAAATTCTGACACTGTACCTGGAAAGGCTTCACTCCAACTCCGTTTTTGTTCTTCTTTTTCACAACATCAATGATTTTCGTCACAAGCTGGTCAGCCACATAATCAACGTGCCTGCCACCCTGAGGAGAACGGGACAAGGACCTGAGACTGAGGGCACTGAACCCACAAAAATATAAATATCTATTTAAAACTTTAAGCACATTCTTTGCAACACTATTTTTCACTAACATATGTACACTTACAAATAACCAAGAATATTCATGTTGAAGAACATGGCACAAGTTTAATTAAACACACTAAGGGTTTACCTTTGTGGTGGCAATGCTGTTAACAAAGCTGACTTGCTGGAAGCCTTTTTCACTCAAAGTCAAGCACACTTCCCATCTGGAATTGACTTCCTCATGGATAACTTTAAGTGCATTCCCAGTTTCATCGACCTTATCCTTCAGATAAAGATCCACATAGCTGCGGAATCCTTTCACCTGCACGCAGATGAGAGCAGACAATTGGTTGATAATAGCTCCTAGAAATACTTAATTCACATCCTCCTGCAAAAAATCCCTCCTGCGTGTGTTCCTTTGTTCTGTGTGATGACAGGAATGGCCTCAAAAGAATCTCACTGGTTAAATGAAACGGAAAAAACCCCAAATATTTGTGTTTCTTTTCAATGCTCACTTACAGGAAGTCTCTGTCCATTCAGGAAAACTTTGACATCCTTTGTGGATCCAGCAATATCATAAGCTCTTCGAGACATCAGTGCTACAATGTCCTTATCCAGAACAGTCATTTTGAATTTGGACAGATCAGGTTGGAAAGTGACACAGGTGTAATCCTCTCCATCAAAGTGTTTCAGCTTCATTTCTCCAGCCTTTCCCATGTTGTCTGTCCAGGTCTGAGGAAAGGAGCTTTGGTGAGTTGCAAGTCAAACACACACACATAACTACCTTAGTTTTTAAAAGCAGTGAGATGGTTTATGTGTTTTAGATATCTTTAAATTAAACAAAAACTCTGGTTAAAAACCAGATTCTCATGTTGTCTGCTAATTTCATTATTCCTTTGAATTACATTTTGTGGGTCAAATTTCCTTTAATCACACTGAACTAGTCTTGAAACAAAACCTGAGGGTCTCATTTGAAAACCTCAGGTATAAACTCCTTGGAAAGAAAAGTGCTCCTACCTGCTTGAATAATTTCTTGTATTCACGACATCCAGTTTCCACAGTAAATTTTGTGCTGAATATGTTGCACAGTTTGGCTCCATAACCATTTCTCCCCCCTGGAATTAGAAGGAACACAGACTTGTGTTATTCTCTTTGTCCAAAGCCATCTAAAAGAATGCAAGGCTAACTGGAGTTTGTCAATGTCCACCCAATCCAAAGACAACTGTCAACAAGCAACAATATTCATCAAGCTCAGTATGCAACTACAAATTTTGATTTAATCAGGGTTTAAGAGAATATTCAAAGACAAGTTTCCCAGGTTTGCACTGCTGTTATGATTAAACAGAGCACAGAGATTTCTCTGATAGATTCAGAATGTGATTTTCATAGAATCACAGAATGGTTTAGGTTGGAAGGGACCTTAAAGGCCAGATTGCTTCAAGCCCTGTCCAACCTGGCCTTGGACACTTCCCAGGGATGGGGCAGCCACAGCTTCTCTGGGCATCCTGTGCCTCACCACACTCACAGAGAGGGATTTCTTCCATATATCTCACCTAAATTTCCCCTTTTTCAGTTTTCACTTCCTGCCCTTTCTAGCTCAGGTCACACACTTGGAGCTGCTCAGAGATATTGTTGCACATCTGAGCCTTCCTCACCTGTGACTTTCTTCTCATTGTCATCGTAGTTGCTGGATGTCAGCAGCTGTCCAAAGATCAGAGCAGGCACATAGACCTTCTCCACTTTGTGTTCAACAACTGGGATGCCTTTCCCATTGTTCCACACACTGATTGTGTTATTCTCTCTGGGGAGGGAAAGAAAAGTCTGTTTTTAAGGCTGCAAATGGCTGAGATAAGAAAGAAGTCACCAAAAGGCTCTGGGGAAAGGCACAATTTCACCAGGAACAAATCTGTGCTCAGCAAGTGCAGCAGCTGCCAGCAGAGGGGGGACAGGCAACACAGAAATGCCCAGATCTGCACATGCTGCCTCTGAAATGGACCCACACACCAAACCCTGTCTGTGCTCAATCAAGATAAACAGGGAGAGGAAGAGGAAAACCACAGCAACAAAAGAGCTGTTTCCCCAGTCAGCCCTCTGTGAGAGACCAGGGCACTAAGCAGAGAGAAAGCTTTCACTGCTGGTGAATTAAATTTGGGCTATCTCGGATCAGCCCCACAGCCCTGCAGTGCCAGCTCAGCTTTGCAGAACAGCTGGAGGCAACCAAAAACAATGAAACCAAACTTACACATCAATTGTGACTTTAATGCACGACATGTTTTTATCCCTCTGCTTGTTGTCTGCAGCATTGACTAGAAAAGAAAGAGAATATCGTTTTTTTATTACATTCTCAATCAAGGGAAAACTATGAACTATGCAGTGTTCCAGTAGAATGAACACAAAAACTCACTACAGTGTTACTAATAATCACCTCAGCATGAAAATATGTTGCAAATTACCAAGAGGAGTACAAGTTATCATGGAATTATGAAGGTTGGAAATGACCTCTGAATTCCTCCAGTACAACCATTGACATAAAAGGGAGAATTTTGGGCAGAAGGAAATCAAGTTTGTAATTGGAGTTTTGAAATTTTTCTTTTCGTTTGTTTCCCATGAATGGTTTGCTATTAAGCAGTGCTAATAATTTCTTGATAATTTATGTTTAGCTCCAGTTTCTTCCATTCAACCCCCGTTAATAACCCATCACTCACTGACTCAATGGATCTGTCAGCTTACCCAGAATCTCATCAAAGATTTTGTACAAGCCAGGCACAAAGGTCACATCTCTGCAGTTGAGGCCAATGCCTTCATCATAAACCCACATTTGCTGAAAAAAAAAATAAAAAAGAAGAAGGAATTTGTAAGTGCCCAGGTCCAGCCCCTCTTTTGTGCCATTTGTGATAGATAAGCAGATGTTTTGTGCTTTGTAAACAGCTGCTAAAGAATCCCCGCCTGCCCCGAGTTGCTCGGGGGGCTCAGCCCTGCTCCTACCTGGGTGACGAGCTCCACGGAGCCGATGTAGGTGTCTGGCCGGAGCAGGATGTGCTCCAGCTGCGTCTTCTTCTGGTAGATGTGCTCCACCGAGAGCTTCTTGGGGCCATCGGGCTTGCCCACCACGATGTTCTCGTTGGCGGGCTGGGAGGGGACAGGCGGCGGTGAGGGGAGCACAGGGGGAACACGAGGGGGCCAGGCCGGGGAATGGAAGAGAACCGCAATGGGAATCTGAGGGGAGTGAGGGCTGGGGAAAGACAGAGAGAGGAGCCCGGGGAGACCCTGAGGAGACCCAAGGGGGGCTGTGAAGGAACCCGGGGAGATGCTGAGGGGGAAC